ATCTTTGTATTTCATATTTTTACTTGTATTAAAATCCTTTTCAGTTTTAATTTGCAATTTTCATATACTTTTCTTATTCATAGTACACTTCCGGGTAATAAAAAAATGTGTGGAAATTTCCACCGTTTTGTTTAGTTTTAACTGAATTTTTTTCTCTCTCCTTAAAATATTAAAACAGCACTGCTTATTCAGATTTGACTTTCACTAAAGAAATTATTTTGTAAACAGATTACGCCATTGCAAAAAATTATTATATGTAAATATTAAATATTATTGTATCAGATATATTACAATCTTGTCAATTAAATTGTGCACTTTCTCCACACACAAAAATTTTAAAAAAACTCGGGAAATAAGATCACTTTTTAATAATTATTATTTTTTTTCTCCAGACTCCAGCAGCTCGTGAGACGAAAGAAGTAGCACCCTTGCCGAAAACGCCTGGCAACTTTCCCCACCCAATAATTTTCTCCTTATTAAAAAGGAAATCCGACTCCAAGTTGAAGGTTTTATTTGTGAATGAATGAATGACAATGACAGTCAGAAGAGTGAGATAGACTCGACCAGGACCAAAGCAGGCAAAGCAGGAGTATCAAGTGGGAGAGGTAAAGCTGAGGCAGGCAAACCGACTCAGAATCTTCTCACTCGTTTTCCTATGCTGCTTGCTGCTCTAACTGAGGAGTTCAGGTTCAGGGTGCAGTCGTCGGTCGGACCTACGAAAAACTATATAACTCCACCAATCCAATGGCAATGGCAAGTTTGCAATGCAATAATAATGGCAATGGTGTACGGACACATGCTAAAAAACCCAGTAAACTAACAAAGTCCGGAATGCTATTATTATTATTATTAAGACGGTTGGTTAAAGACGGTTGGAACGTTGATGAGTTGCGAATTTTGTAGATAGGTGACTATTGTTGTCTTGTTGTACAATGATACTAATAAATAAGAGGGGAAGGTACGCTGTTACTGAATAACTGCATTTAATACTTCCATCCATGCTAGACTTTACTTGGATAAAGACAGAGTATTGAACCCACTCGTTTGATGAGTTCTAATGGTGTAAGCGAGTCAGCAATGCTATGCAATCCGCTGCATATTGCGAAGGTGGGTACACGGCTATTTGTAACTGTACTCTTTTTTTACCTGTGGCTTTGCCTGGTTACGTATGTATGTTTTATCATTACACACATGTTCATACAGGAAGGAAAATGAATCGTATTTATGGCTGGTTTCGCAGATGCGAATTTTTTTTACGTGTTACTGGGAGAGAATTGTATTTATTTTTGGGATCTGGAGGATTTGTGTTGTTCTGGGATTGAAGGATTTTTTATAATGTGTAGGCAGGTGGAAAATTGTGGAAAATTTCGTGTCACGGAAAACAACAGTAATTATTATTCTGAGATAATAATTGTTCCATACATGCAATACAGTATCGAAGTAATTAGCAAATTCAAAAACGTTGTTCTTTCTCCTGCCATTGACATTGGTTTCATAGAATTTTGGGAAAAGCTGCTGAATCATTTGCGATACGTATGTCATGTGGATAGGGAATTGACTCAGACTGACTGGTGTACCTAATTATGTATTTATGTACGTGGGGAGTGTGTGTAATATTGTATAAAGTAACGTTTCTTATTAACGTATGTAAGTAATCATCATGACAGAGTGCATTCTGCGGTTTCAAATTAATTTGGGTTTATTATACTTTATTTTGAATAATTATTTTCGTAATCGGTTCTTTGTGGTTTTTTTAAAGTTGTATATACATATGTAAAGCAATCACTTTTTTAATGGTTCTCATAACATTTAGAAGGGTTCTGTATGTACATTTTTAATCAGAATTACTTAATTGCAGATTCAATTACATTAAGTATGATATACATAACAGTTCTGTGGTGGTGAATTATCAGCAAGAACTAAATACTACTGTGTGCACTTATATAATTGCGTGTAGGAAAAACTCTGGTTGAAAAAATCCGAAACTAATTACACATTCGTCAGTTTTTTATTCATTTATTATTTATTATGAAGGTAATCAATTAATATCGTTTTACAACCGGATAAGAAACGTACATACAAACATCAACCATTAACCAAGAACCAATAATACTTGTGCAAATACAGGTTTGTCATAGTACTACTGACCCATCATCATCCCTCTCTCGAGGTATATTACTTACCTTAAAATCTTGTTCATTGGGCGATTGACCCCGGTGAACCTCATACAAGTTGCAGCAATAATGCATGCGCAAAAATACAATCAAGTCGGATTCTGGTAGTCAGTCGCTGTATAATAAATAATCAGACATGCCATTCTGTTTACTCGCTCTGGTCTGATCCACCACTTTGTTTCTTCTTTCTCTCTGACTGAGCCGGAATTCAATTCAGGTTTTACAATTGAATCAAACTGAACTTTTTTTCAACTAAAGCGAGTCCGTGGTGGTGGTGAGGTCTGAGAAGATGCAATAAAACAATGGGACGACTTGTATCCATCTTGTACTGGTTAATTTTTCTTCAGTGTCATTATGCTTCAATTCATACCAGACTTGTGGTTAATGAACAAAGTTAATGAATGAAAAGCTCTCGAATGTCTACTGCAAATTATAAAGATGCTGCGGCACTCAAAAAGCAAAGATTGCAACAAATCCCAAAGATGGACCACGATCACCATCACCACCAATAAATGTCTGACAACCATAATGAAATAAAAGTTCCGTTTTCTCTTTACCTATCAAACTTATACATATTATGTATGTGCAATTCGCCATGTTTTTGGGTAGACATACACACATTTTTTACCCCTGACAGCCAAATGTTGTTGAGAAGATGGGATTTGTCCGATCGGTTGTGTCGGTTGTGCAGGTGTGGGCGAACATTAAGATGAGAGACGAATAACTTATTGCTCTTGGTATCATAACATAACGTTACTTTATGGTAATGATGATCATGATGATCATGACGATAAACCAGTAAATTATTAAAGTTGGCCAACAATACACATAACAAATACGAGAGATTTGCTCCATTCAAGCGTTTAGCTTGTCGCCACATGCCATAAATTGCATATCGACTACAGTCTATCCTACTGCAGCGAATTTCCTTTAAGAGAGAGGACATAAAGCATGGAAATAATTTCTCAAAATGGTCACCCGATTTTCCTCTGCCTATATTTTACCTCTGGTTATTATGTAACGTTCAGTTTATGATTTTTAATTGAGATTTTAAAGGATAAGTAGTAATCTACTCCGTGAGTAATAAGCCCTGTCGTAAAACAAAACAAAAAATAATAATGAATGCATTTGCCAACATGTGTAACATCTCGTTAAACATCCCGTAATTGTGTTGTTAAACTGATGCGTCTTTAGGGGACATATGTAACTAATAATTCTAAGTGATTGCTATTTGTCTTGTGTCGGAATTACATTACGCCAGGAATTTATGCCTTGTGGATGAATGGACGTTGCTTATATAACTATCATTAAGTGAGAATTAAGTGTCGTACGGGATTTTTTCGCGATTGTTTAGAGGAAAGAATTTTCATTTCGTATTCAATGCAGGATCAACATGTTTTATGCATCTTGCAGACCTCACACCTTTCTGTGCGTAATGTTTGCTTGCTTAATTTTCCCTCTGTGCGAAGGAACAAGTTTTTAGGTATTTAATTTCTAAATTTAAACAAGGAGGATTAAAAACGTGAAGGCTATTTATGTACGGACGAACAAATAAGAATAATAATGGGATTATTTTGGTGTCCACCCGCACGATATTTGCTCATCACTTTCACCAACTTTCACTTGCTTTCTTTCATTTCCCACATTTTCTGGGGGTACGCATGAGCACGCTATCCCACACTCGGGCAATCCTTCATCGATCTCACCACCAACGCATCCAGCAATCCACACGGATTTCCAAACACAGCAACAAGTGGATCAACTCTTCAACAATTTAACACCACACCACACACCACTGGGGATAAATAGACTTTGAGGGGTAGATCAAGACAAAAAAATCAAATAGCAGTGATATCTAGCTACCCAACAAATCCGTATCTTTTGGAGTCTCACATAACTCCAATTTTGCCCAAGTAAAAAGTTGTTGTCTCAAAAATCTCAAAATAACCCAAGGACGATGTAATATGAAAATGAGACATGGGTTCAATTTACATTTTAATAAAATACATATGAAATCATAACCTTTCTCTAAATATGTATGGGACAGGGATCCAATTTAAAACCTGCATGACATTTCGTGGTGCACGTTATTTATCTCATTTCACGGGTGAAAGTGAAAGAGAAAGTTGAGACTCTTATTGCATCAACAAAGCGAAAGCTCTGCTTCTCCTCCAGCCTTTTGCTTTCCTCCTCGAACGAACACTTTTACTCCAAAAAACTCGCCCTTTTCCCGTTAAGTTAGTTAGTTTTGGATTGCCAGAGACGTCGACTCTTCGACACTCGTCTGCTTCGCTGTTCCCGACCATCATCGAAATTCAGTTCGGTTTTTCGGATGGAAACAGTACCACCTAAATATACCACACCACCGTCGTCTGCCCTTTAGCTAGTCGGTCCGTATGAGAGCGGCCTTTCAATGCATGTATAGCAGCCTATGTATGTAGCTCTCAAGTTGCTTGGTGGCAATAAAATGTGCCTACGTAAGCCCTACTTGCTGCGACAGGGTGGCACATTTGCATGGGTGTGATTTCATATTTTGGGTGGTGACAAATTGTACGAAATTTGTAAAGTTTGTTATGTTTTAGAAAGCATACGGGCATGAATTTTTTTTTCATATCCTCGGAGAAAGTTGGTCACTTTGAACTGATTGCGGATTATTGATACCATAAAACTGTGCATACACAATTTCCCCAGTTTTGCACCCTGTTCCTTTTTTTGGTAATATGTAATTCCATTTCATCCATATACCCATTTCCAACCCTTCCTCGACTTGACTCGCTCTCTCCCACAAGTCAAGTCAACTCGAAGCATACTATTATGCAGACTCCTATACACACACTCGACGACTCAGTAGTCACACAGCTTCAAACTCTCAACTGATCCAGATTGATAAGCAAGTCAGGCAGAGTATGATTCGGATAGATCCGATCCGGGTTTTACTCTGTAATAATAATACGCAAGCCATACATAGAAGAGAGGCAGGATTCGTACACATATAGCCAAAAGACCACTCACTAATAAACTTTGCACACTTCTTGTTCCATCCAAACTCAAGTGTTGCTTGTGGTGTGTGTTGTGTGTGTGTTGTGTTTGTCGTTCGTCGTATATAGGCATATGTACCAAAATACATATACGCTTTTCCACTAAACTCACAATCTCGACAAGTTAAAACCCGAGGAGACTCAAAGGCAAGTCAATCCACCACAATTTCGTATCTATCTACCCACCCGTCATCCGATTCTACTTCCGAAAAATAATTTTCAGCATGGCGAGGAGCTAAATACACAAACCAAACCACGACTTTCACTCGACTTGCGAATAATTAATAAAATTAAGCAGGCGGAGGAAGCCACGAAGGAATTGGACGAAGGTGGCAATAATTTTAATATTAATCAAGAAGAACACGAACACTTATTTACATTTATTCCGACAAACTCCAGCAGGAAATTGATTTATGGATTAATTTCGCATAACATGATGGGTTAGTTAAACTTGTGATTCGTGCAATATGTAAAAGTGGGACATCAACAGGCGAATGTCGTGGTGATGGTGGTGGTGTGGTGATTGGTTATTTATTTATTAGTGGATGGAGACCTATATTTATCTGACTCTAAATCAATCAAAATGACGAACATGGTCATTTTCATTCCTACTTTGCATACATAATACTCTCCAAAGTTTGGGTGCAATTTTACATGATGCGACGCGAAAAGCGTTTGAGTGACACCACTTATACTTTCATAAAGCTGCTACAAGTGGAAGAAGTTATGATTTTGTGATCGAAATCAACAGTAATCCAGCAAATCAATGCCAGTAAGACTACTACGACTGCTTAGTCATGATTTAGTGAATGCAAATTCCGACACATATTCGAGACTACCCACATAATTTGCATTATCGCTGATACATATTTATCACCAGCAGGGAGTTGTCTCTCCAAAGTTTACAAAGTATTTCTGAAATGAATATGATTTACGTTTACAAGATATGCAAGTGTCCATCTGCAAGTATCAATGTACAGATAAACGAATATGTCTGGAGAAGAAGGAGCAGCAGCAACAACAGCAGTCGGCATTTATTTAGTCTGTAAAATCTAAAAAATTTGAAAAAATGGCCATTTTAGAACAACCTGTTTTCAGAAATATTGACAGAACTGTGTGTCGTGGATAAAATGGTGTAATCCGTGAAACGAGTCAGATTTAAGACGACAGCTTTAATAAAATTAGAGTTTTTGGTGGTGCTATGTACATGCGATAAGAAAACAATGTAATAATTAATTCTAAACTCTGTGTTGTGTTGATTGAAAATCAAAAAGTACCCGAAAAGTAATAATTATCACGACAAAGACAAAATTCACAGTTCTCTCAGCAATTAAATTAAAATCAATAAATTCAATAAGATAAATAATCCACCAGAGTTCAATCATCATTTTCATATCATTGTGATCTGTAATAAAAAAATAACTAAGATTCATAAATTCAGATATAATTTCCAATTGTTTCCTTTTTTGCGTGCTGCCATTTGAACTTTCAATAAAGTATTTAAAAAAAAACAAAGCCATTCATAAAGTACACATCGAGTAAAAGTAAGACATCAAAATAATCACTTTGTTCCCTGTTGCTCGCTAAATTTTCATGCATTGATTTTAAACCTCTTTCAGATTTCCAGCAACTATCGTACCGCAACAGAAACGTTCATTCGTCAAGTTTAGGACATCAGCATCTCTTGGAAGAAAAATCATGGGATGCAATAACAGCCACCTTCGCCCCCTTTTTCGGCGTTGTCGGCGTCGCTCTAAAAAGGACGATGTCAACTGCTCCACCCCCAAAAGACAGGCGTCCTCCCAAGCACAAAATAACGATGCCGCCATTGACAGCAACCATATCGACGCGTCTCCCGACCTTTTACACGGTTTCCAGTTTATCGGGTCTTCTATGCGACAAAACGCGAAAGGAGGCGACGTAGGTTCTTCCGACCAACCGTCATGTGTTCCATTGTTAGCCCAGTCGTAAGTCCTTTTGGATAATTAAAAATACTCTCACACATTTTTCCACACTTTCTTTTCTTCACCTCTCCAATCTTTTGACTCTTTTCATAATCAACTCCACTAAATCAAGACTTTCTGCCCACAGGGAATTAAGCCACAGTCAGATTGAGTTTTTCAAAATGTTGGATGACAAAGTCCAGCAGGTAATAATTTCAAAAAAAGTTATTTCGAAAAAATTTCAAACTTATTTAACCTCTTCTCTTCACCTCAGGGGCCCGACTACGACTCTGAAGAGGAAAGAATCGAGACGGAGCTCCTGGTGAAAAGGAATTTGGACACGTGGCGACGTACAATTGAAAACGCGAACGCTTCTTGGAAAATCTCCCGTGTGAGTGGCACGAGTGGGTGTGGCAGCGGGGGTGGGGCGAGTACAAGTAGTGGAAAAACTGTGGGGAACCACGCACCACCAAAATCTAATCGTTGTCAATGGGACGACGAGGGCGATTAGTTGTCTCGTAGCGGTATTGAAATGTTCTGATAATATACTTATTCTTGTGCGTATGCCAATTTTTATTCAAGTTTTATACGAAATGTTACCAAAATTAGTTACTATCGATAGTGATGCCACTATGATACTGGATTGTTAATATGTTATTGTTGACCTTATGCCAAATATCCCAGCAGAACTCGGACAGAAATTTGTAACGTGTTTCCGCTAAGAAACTAATTGTGAAACAATCACTCCGTATAGTTAAGTAATTAAGTAATAATTATCTTTATTAATGCGAATGCGTTGTAAGAAAGACAAGAAATAATTTCTTATCCTGTTCCTCTCTCTCTCTCCATCTCTCTAAAATATTTATACCGAAAAATGTACCGAATTCCTTCCTCAATAATAATGATTGCGTAATTATTTTTACGTAATGATGATTTGTGGTCTGATTTTTACATTATTAATTTCTTACGTACATTACAACCCGTGTTTTTATATTGAATGGCGTTGTTGTTATTCATATTTATGTCTACCTGCCAGAAATGGCTTATGTATGTTCCTTGCAATTGGTCAATTGCTTTTTTTTTTAAAGAATTCTAGCTAACAAAAACTAAAACCTTTTCTTAGCTGTATAAAAAACATTGTAAAAGAAGAAGAAGGAAAGACTGATCCATAATAAAAAGCATGTTTTAGAAATCAATGATCTTGACTTGGTTGACATATTATTTTTAAGTAAGTTTCTTTGAATTGTATGTCGTACTATGGCATCATTTAATATCCAAGTATACAATAAAATTGTGCTTGCTTTTTTCCGCGTTCCAACTATTTTCACTTCTGATAGGTTAATATTTGCGTAATTTTGTATACATACAGAATCAGTAATTCCGAATTGGGGTGGTACTCCAGCAGTTTTCAAGATACAAGCCAACATGTGCGAATTTTTTGCTATTTTTATATTTAATTTTTTGGTAAAAAATAGCACATATTTGGTAAATATCACTGAAAATAATTCCTAAATAATTTTGGACTAGTTCGTGGGCCTCGAGATTAGGAAATTGTTGAATTTTGCTAAATAATCCCAGTTTCAGTATTAGTTATTCCAAGATTGAAATACAGGATTTATTAAATGTTAATTATTGTTTGTTCAATCACACGCATTATGTAAAAATATATTTTATGTACCCTTGTGGCGTGTATCTGAAAAATGACCCCGAGCATATGCATACAGTTATGTCGTTTCAAAAATATATTTCCTATCTCAGTAATTGGCTGATTTTCTAAAATATCTTGTATTTCATGGGATTAGAAAGATAAGCTCCAGTTTTGATCGATACGATGCCACGGGGGTAGTGTTACATTCAGATTTTTTAAAATCATCATGATTAATTTATATTTACGTCGTTTCAGCAGCAAATCCTTGCATTCTGATGCTTTATCCACAAAGCCTTTATCAAAATTAGTTGAAAATAGATACGTACTTCGAGTAAAATTGGTTTATACGAGTTCATAATTAAATTGATATCATTCCTGCTACAATCGCCTTCCAAATTTTTCAGCAGGAATCCAATTTTAACGTGCGGAGAATGTGAATATCATTTTCTAACTCATCCTCAGGTAGACTTAGGAAGTATTCAACATCGATTTTTCATTTTAAATTGTTGTAATCTACCATTTTAATCTTGTTCTTGCTTCTTGAAGCAGTTGTAAAATTTCATGTTTTATCGGTGCACAATTGACGTCATCACCTAAAACTCAGAACCACACGAAAAATCTACAAATATTCTCTTGTTTAATATTTAACTTACAATTTAAACGAATTGGCGTACAACTTGCTCGTTTTTCATCGCATCGAAATTTTCTCTTTTCTCCATCAATTAGACTTTCTTCGTGTATACTTACATCAGTGTGAGTCACAGAAATTATATGTTGTGTATTGTCGCAAGAAGAGCAGTCAGTATAATGCAGCCAGTTATACATATTTATACACGTAATTTTTATAAGTATATACTTAAAAAGGTATCTGCTTATGATTTACATACCAAATTTTTGTTCGCATCGTTCCGAACACCTGATTAAATGATCTTGAAAAAAGTAGTAAACCAACCCAATTAATTAGATCAGAAGTCCTAAATTAAATTAATACCGATTGTTTTACACGATAAAAACAAATAAAACTTGTTAGTTTCTATCAGAAACTTTCACATGGACCATTTCCCTGTAGACTTTTCAACTCTTTTAACCACACCGAGGTTAAAATGAGACTAGATCCGTTCTGTTTGTGATTCTTATTTGATAAAAATGAAATTTGTCTACACGCATTAGTGGAATTTTATTTATGTGAGTGAAAATGCATGCAATTAATTTTCTGAATGTTGTTAAATAAGTAAGTAAAATCAATCATGCATATCGGGTGAGGCATGAATCAACGAATTTTTTATTTCTAAATTTGAGTTTACTGTTGTACCGTATATCTAATCATAGATTATCGTAACAATTAATTTTTCTGTAATCCACAGTGCAGCATTATTTAGCCCGAGTCAGGTTTTCATGAATAATTGAGGTGAGTAGTACTGCAACTTTTTTATTTTTTGATAGATCTTTCTCATCTTAGAACTTGATTCCTAATTTTGCATATTCTACAAACATATATAAAATTAAGTTTTAGAAGCGTAATTAATAAAAAGGCAGACAGTGCAATCGTGCAAATCGTATTAGTTGACAAATTTTTTGAAAAACTATAAATTTGTGTGCTCCTATAAAGAAAATTTGCAAATGCATGGAATGAATTTTGTAAATAAGTAAAATTGGACGACTTCGGATGAGGAATGAATCAACGCATTTTTTATTTATTTTTCTGTATATTCGAGTTTACTCTTTGTACCGTATCTCTAATCGTAGTAATTAATTTTACTGTCTGCAATACTTAAAAGGTAAATCGTGCTAATCTAAATAGTTAACAAACAGCTCAAATAAATAAGTATAATAATTATTAAAGTCTTCTTTTATTAATCTACCCACCTTGGATAATAGTAAGTAACAAGTTGGTTGGTGGTTGCGGTTGTTGTTTTTATTCTGGGCTATTAAGCAAATGTCATCATTGGTGTGTCATCATCATCATCATCTTAATAAGGTCAATAATTGAATAGATAGAAACAAGGGGCTCAACCTTAAGTATTATTATTATTTTGATCAACATTACAAGTATATGAATCAATAATAATAATAATCAGTATTCAATCATCCTAATTATTGAATGTTTTTTCTCCCCTTCTGCATTAACAATAATTAATAACACAAATTATGAAACTCAGTTTGGTAATGATTATTATTTGGATGAGAGTTGTTTCGCCAACTCTGCATATTTCATTAGTTTCGAAGCAGGAGAGTCTGAAGAATTGATGGTGGGTTCCACGACGCCGGAAGGATTTGCACCACCTCCTCCTCCTCCACTGCCGTCCTTATTATTAGCGCTATTCAAGTCCTGGTGCGGACTCTTGGATGACTCCTTCACAAAATGCATTTTGGCGAGATGGAGTCGATAAGCCCCTTTGGAGAGAAATGGCGTGTCGCAAAATGTACACTTGAAAACGTTCCCGTCCGATGCATCACCGGCGGAAGCGTTGGCAGCTGCAGCAGCCCAATTCAAACCGAGAAGAGATGGTTCTGCGTACATAAAACAAAAATTACCTAAAAATTCAAATTTTTGCGAAAATTGTTGTATTTTTACCTGGAGATGACTGAGGATTTGAGGAAGAAGTGCTCGTTGGTCTGGAATTAACGCTGCCACGCCCACCTTCCCGATCTCCCCCACCAGCCGTCCCATTTCCGGGAGAATTCTCCGTTTTGTCACAAAGTTTCTGCAACGCTGCGAGAGGATGATGAGAATTTGATGGAAATCCCGAAGAATTTTTAGAATTGGAGTTATTATGGTCTCCTCCATCTCGCCCTCCTTGACTACCCGACGCACCACCACCGCTGCCCCCAATCGACTCAAACATTGAGCTCAGAGCGGACAAACTGTTCTGCTTCTGCCGTGACTTTTTACTATGATTATTATTCGATGATGCTGATTTATTCGTGATTGCCTTATGTTTCCGCTTGTTAGTCGCCGCAGTAATGCTGTTGTGTTCGCTTTGATTATCATCCGAAATGGCGTCACCATCCAGATCTGTGGAATGGTCACCACCCAGAGAGTCGCTCGCAGGGGACTTGGTGTTGGACCGGACGTTGTTGTTGCACAGGCTGAGCGGTGACTTTAGCGAGCCGGCGTCATTGTCATTTGACGGCAGGGCGGGTGACGACGAGTTGGAATTCGACTTTGACCTGTGAGTCAAATCTTCAGAGATGGAATGGTCAGAGGATGCACTCCGACTTCGGGAACGGCGAGACTGGGGGATTGAGTATTTCCCACTGGGGGGAAGTGGTAATAGGCCAGAGTGCTCCATGAGAGGCTTTGTGTAGTCGACAGACTCGTCGATCCCGAGTCGCTTCAGAATACTGGGCAAAGTTGAAATTAGAATGAGTTAAATGCTCCTCAATTAATGAAATGAGCATTAAATATTAATTACTTGATGGATGATGCTGACCTGGAGCCGATGGGTGGACTAGGCCCAATATTTGAAGGTTGACTCCGCACTGCGGATCTGTAGTCGAATGACTTTTCAATCATTTTTTCAATCGCGTTTATAGCTGAGGACTGTTCATTCTTGTTGTTATCGCTGTCAGATTTATCCTTTCCTCCACCTCCACTTCCACCAAGACTGAGATCAAGTTCTCCCGTTCCACTGCTTTCCCTTCCGGAGTGGCTGCCCGTATGTCCATCCAGCTTTGGGGAGGGGGTTGGTTGTTTGAGAGGGGATGAACCCCCACTGCTCGCACCACTGCCGCTGTGACTATGACTCGTCGTCCCACAGACGCGGAGATGCTCGACGAAAAGTGGGCCTGGAATTTTCTCGGAGCATTTTTCACAAGAAATTCGAATTTCTTTTTTCATCTCTTGGCTGGCCCTTTCCAGCTCCAGAAGTTTTCGTACGGGGAGACTTTTCTTCCGCTTTTCACGAGATTGACGACGCCGTGACCCGGACTCTGTGATGGATCGCATGATGTGTTCCTTGTAGTGTTGATTCTGCAGGAGGAAAGATTGCGAATTTATTATTTTGCATAGGCTTTAAGTGCGAATATTTTAGCTTGTGTTTATACCTTCACCATGTGGTTTGACAAATCCTTCAGAGATGAAAATGCCTAGTAGTTTATTAAAAAAGTATAAATTATATAATCTGCCAGTCATTGGGATAGAGACTTTTATGAATTACCTGATCACACACTTTGCAGGTGAGAACAGCGCTCACATGAGAATTTGTTGATGAACTTTTGTCGTCGGAAGATCTCCATGAAATCAGTTGTTCTGCAAGTTAAATTCAAATGTAACAACGGAAAATGTTTTTTTTATTTTATTACACATTCGAATATGTGATTTGTGTATTTATATACCTTGCGAGATGATGTTGGTGTAGTGTTGAGTCTGTTGCATGTGAGCTGAAATAAGATAAGCGTAATTTCAATACATACATCGCAATTCATAATTGGATTACGTCATAGCCACAAATTTAATAAACAAAGTCATAAAGTTTCACCTGTCATTTCTGCCAACGACCTGAACGACGTTCCGCACCACATACATTTAAGAATCTGACGCGTTTGTTCGGCGCCCTTTCCCAACCACACGTCTTGACCTCTGACTAGTTTTCTTGGTAATTGTACTGTTTCTGCAATTGCAAACGGGGACAGGACTACTTAAACCAAATTATCCAGCAATCTTCCGACGACCATCGATATAATAAGACATTTACCCTTGTGTCCTCCCCCCGTACCTTTGAGAAGTAGGGAAGAAGAGTCTGACGCTGAGGAGGAGGATCCTCCCGTCGGAGTAGACACCGGAGGATGTTGCGGAGACTGCTGTGGGGGCATTTTTGGTGAGGGCAGATTTGGCATGGGTGGTCCGTGTTTGGACTGAAATTAGAAAAAAATGGTTATCATTCTGCCCGATAAGCAATTGGCTTATCTGTGCACCAACCTCTTTCATGTGAACGCTTAGTGCGGCCAGCGTGTTGAAGGTAGATCGACACACGACACATTTAAAGATTTCTCGAGTACCCGTAGAATTCTGAGCGAGCCACTGAGCTTGCCAGGATGAACTGGAACCTGAATTTCCTTCACATTTTATAATATATTCAAGAAATAAATTACGAATCCTTCATATTTTTTACCCAATTATACTTACCTCTTCCTGATGATGGCGACGTCAACTTGCCACCAACCCCGTCCTGCGCCCCACCACCACCACCGCCCCGGCTCATTTCTGACATCTTTTCCAACGCTTTAATGTCCGGGCTGTGGTTTCCATTCCAGGAATTTTTGCGTTCTCTGTTCTGGTGGTGGTGGTGGTGATTGGCGATGAGAGGAGTGCTTGTGGGGGTCGAGTCGTTAATGGAAGATGGCGACCATTTTGGCAACTTTTTAAGAGGACCGTCATCCTCTTTGGTTGGCTTTTTGTGAGATACTGACAAGTCCAGGGGTGAGTCCCCCATTCCGCCACGACCACCGCCACCGCCGCCGCCACCTCCAGTATTGTCTCCACGGTTGTGTTTCCGCGTCGTCAAGGGTGAGATCATTGAAGGGGGTGAAGAGACTGGCGGACCACATGGACCCCGACTAAAGTCTAGTATTGCTGAGGCTCCTCCATTCTTGTGAGAAGAGGAGTGGGACGAACGGGGCCTAACCAGAGAGGAAAAAAAATTAGTACGAGCAGATATTTACCGTGTGCCTGAGGTAGTACTTACGATGGGGGTGACGATTCTCGAGACGACGTGGTTGGTACATTATCCACTGACTCGTCTGAATCTGAACCCATGTCGTTGTCATTGTCATTATCCGAACCTCCCGACATTTCTGTAGAGTGGGCAAAGAAGGAGAAGAAGAAAGTTGTTAATTACTGGTCTATAGTTTTAGAGACGCTGGACACGATTCATCCCACATTTGTATGTCGTGCGTCTAATTCAATTAAGATTTATTCCTCATGTTCTCTTACCCCCTTTGCCCCCGTCGGGCTTTTTGTCCCCTCCTTCTCCTCTCGCTGCACCCTCAGCATTCTCCAGTTCCCCTGAAATGGCAGAAAATAAATAAAAAACGATTAAATTTTGATGTGGAAGTATTTTTTGGATTTGTTGGTTTCCTCTTTCTTTCTCTCATTCTTTCCTTCCTTCCGGAACTCAACCCTTTATTTCATCCAAAACTCCTGACTGTCCTTCTTTTGTAGATATTTACAATGCTTTTACCACGTTATGTACACGATATGAGATGGACAATCTGTCTCAAACTTCCTTTGTCCAGCTCATTCCTGGGTGGACATGTTTTCTTCTCGGGAAATCAAGAAACCATCTCAATCTCATCCCATCACCGGAAAAGTATGGTCACCACATCATCATCAAAAGGGTGAAATTCATGTCACGAGTCATTCCAAACTACCAGAAACCCCGACCAGAAATAAATTCTACAGGAATTCATCTCCTCATCATCGCCATTCCAGAGAAAGAAACCCAAACCAACAATTCCGCCATCGTCGTCGGGTCTGTGGGGACTTAATAATTTCCTCCGCAGCGATATCATATCATTCCACTGCCGATAAGGTACTCATACTTGTGCTGATTCTCACATTTTTCATAACCAACAGCCAAATCGGGACAAATTCTTATCAGCTCTCACATCATGTCGTCGTAGTGGCACCACTACTGCTCGCAGTGCTAATTACTTCTTCTTACACTCACTCCCATGACATTTCTAAATCACACAGAACCACAAAATCTATGAAATCTCGTGATTTTCCACCTGCTCTCACTCACTGCTTCGTACATTCAAATCCAATCCGTGTCATTTCGAGCGGAATCATTACATGAAATATACCACAAAATGAAAGACATTTTGTTTTGTACGTGACACAGACAAAGCCAGCATTGAGACATGTTTTCCCATGTGATTGCTTCATTATTTGTGACGCGTTCTGTTAATAGTGTCCCCCACACTGAAAAGATGTGAATACATTGGTTCGACAGGTGTATAGTACCAGCAGAACCAGCATTATTTCTGCTGTTTAATGCAATAAGTATCGGCCTTATGGGCATTAAGTGCTATAGTCATCTATGTACTACACTTATTAACGTTGGGCCGAGGACAACATCATCATCATCCGCCGACCAAGTCAGTTCGTACACTTGATTAAACAAGAAATGATTAAGATCTTGGAGCAATAAAGTGATGGTAATACACACGCTCGCTCGCCTAGCAGCAGCAGAGATGAGATGAGACACGACTATCTGCTCACGATCACATCAGAGATCAAATTCATTACCTAGAGTATGATAATTAGTGTCGAAGTGTCGCTGCCAAGTGAATTACGATTCAGAAAATGTACAAGTATATAAATACGTAGGTACGTACATACTAGGCAGGCAGGAGGGAGGGATTGTGTGGAGAAGGAGACGAATACCCTGGGTGCAGATAAGTTGGACTTGTCACCTATTTCTTGCCTTACTTATAAAATCGTTCTAAAATTCACTCAATTAATTCCTCGTCGTACGTCCAAACTGTGAAATGTCACTCACTTTGGTCTCTAATAAATTCCTTGGAGTCAAAAACTGTTTCGGAAATGAGGGAGAGGCAAAGTGTGAGGTGACACAACATGATCTCGCATTTGGAATTTGGATGAATTTTAATGCGAAAGTGAAGGATTGAATTAATTGAAATTAAATTATAAATAGAAGATGTAGCACAAAATGGGATGATGGTTTGCTGCTTGCTTGCCTGCCTGCTTTCCTTAGTTGGGGATACAAAGATGGTGACGAGAAGTAAATATTTTATAAAATGTAGTTTATCACATTGTTGACACTAAAAGAGAAAAGTTGGGAGATGAAAATCCAATTTTTTTCGAAATTCGGTTCACAATTTTGAACAATAATACGTTCATTAATACGAATTCTGTTTTCGGTCCAAGGGGGGAAAGAAAAAAAGATCATAAACTTTGTCGAACATAATCTCTCTTTTTAAGCCCATTGCATCTGAGGAGAGCCAAGTAGAAAAGGAACTCTGCCTCTCTCGCTCGCCTTTTGACAGATTTATTGGACATGGGAGTTTCTAAAAAAATCTGAGATCAAACGTGTAAAATAATTCAGACTCGAGTCAATCTGAAAAGATGAAGGTTCATTCTTCTTAATAACGAGTGGAAATATTAAGGTGGGGATATTCTCATATCTAAATATCCCCTAGATTTTAAACACTTGTAGATTTATGCATTAACTTTACCACCACTACAAAAGTACGTATGGAAGAATCGAGTCCATCTAAAATAGAGAAAAAAAGAGATTTACACGACTAGTTGTCTGTCGATACTCGAGCCGAAATCCAACATCAATTACAAATTTCTTAATTTGATTTATTGATTTTTTCAAGGATCCTGCCCAACTCATTGTGCTTGCTCAGTGTCATAAATAAATGTGAGTGAACTAACTGGTCTGCTGCTATTCTGTGATGAACAAAGAGAGGAGTTGGTTGGTTTGGTTGGCACGTAAATTTTAGATTGCTCCCTGAGATGGGAGCGAGAGGAGAGAGATGAGGAGATGCTTTGACTGACAACTTGGAAGAATTATGGGATGATTCATTAACAGATTGCGATGGATTTTGCTTAGGCGGGTGTGAGATCTGTGTGGTTGGTGAGGCAGGCAGGCTGCATATCTGTTTCAAAAAGTATTATGTTCTTATACTTTTGCCTTTTTCCCTCCCCACTGTCTGGCACAATTTATATAAAAGAGTTTGAGCGATTTGAGGAATTTTTTGGGAATCTCTGCTCTATGCATAAGCAAAACCACATGGTGCGCTAGGAGTACGTTGTTGGTTAAAGGAAACGTCTTGTTTGTAATAAATTCAACAAATAAATAAACAAACAGAAAAAAGAAGTAGACTAATTAGATGGGCATGAAATAGAGTACGGCACACAACGTGAAAAATGCGGTGTGTACGGATCTACACTAATTACAACAATGAGAGACCATGGCCAACAAACAAACCACGCAACGCTTTTTTCTGTTAAAAGGTATTTAGGTATACGTAACACGAAATCAGAGTTCATTTCATCATTTCATCCATCCCACACATACGAATGCACTTGTCCACCACAGATTTCCGTTCGTGTCCGTCCTTAAAAAGACTGTTTAAGCCATTTCATCTCATTCCAGAGGAGTATAACTTTGGTTAGTTAAGAGTGTGACACGACGCTGGTGAGCTGAGGTACATACGGTGTGTACATGCATACGTATGGGGGAACATGGGGGAGAAGAAAGGCCGTGGTGGGGAGTAGGTGGGTGGGAGTGGAGTTTCCATCAAAGAAAAACGATAGAGGTTTGGCGAACGGCGTGACGGCCATAATTCAGCGGCGGAAAGCATTTTTGTGAAAGACGTGAAAGATTTGTGGAGCCCGAGTCCTCCCCTTGATGTGGACTTCTCTAGATTTATGTTTGACAGTGACACTCTCTACCCCACCACCACCCCCTTCCTACTTTATGATGCTCATGAATCATATGCACCTACCAAAAATCGAGCCAACTAACTACAAAATTTCAAAAACTCCTCGTCCGCTAACTAAGTACCACCACCACCACGGCCAAGCGTCACATTCTCATCACATGAGAAAGAAAAGAGACGAACCAGCTCACTCCACTTATTCTTTCTACAACTCTGACGATATATATTCCGCCCGTCCGTCCGTCCTCCGACAACGACGACGACCCAGCACCAGAAGAAGAGATAGAGAAATGAATTAAATCAACTCGCTCTTACACCACCACTCCAATCCGACGACGACGACGACTAGGATTCCTGTTCTGCTTAATCCTTCTTTATGTTTTATGGGACTACAAAATAGAAATAGGTTCCCCATTTAAATACCTGGGTCTCGCCTCCCCATTAATTCAATTCTCAGCAAGTTGTCGCTTTTATTATTAGTTAACCTCTCTATACACATAGTTCAAAATGTAAAAGTGTGCATGTATCGAGAATTATTTAGATGATGACATACGCAGATTAAACAAATTCAATCGTGAGAAATATGGAACGCCATGACTTTCAGTTTACACACTGCGTTAGAACAAAGTGGGAAAAAGTTTGAGAGAAGACGTGGAAAGGGTATCAGCAGTGAAATCAGGGTCAGAGTTAGGTGCGTACATCGGCGTATGTACATAGGTACATATCTGCATCTGCTAGACGTATGTTTCAACGTGCTCTGCTCTACGTACATATCAGTGTTCCACTCTTTTCTGCACGTACATATCCGCATAATGCACATTGTAGGATATGCCCAGTTGAATCATGAATGAAACCAGAAAAAACTTTCTCTCAAATTGTATGTGGATACACGATCCTCAAAAACAATACAGATTTTCAGCACTCTAAAACTCCTACATACGAACAATTAGTACTTTCTCCATCCATGCAGCTCCCTGAGTTAATTCAGCCCCAATGAAGATGAAGATGTCCTCTGGTATTGCAGCAAATCAAAAAATTTCCTGCTCTACTCTGGCTGGTGAAACTTTCTCTTTTCACTTTGCCCATTTGTCTCCAGTCATAAACATAATAATTCATTACGCGCCCTCAGATTGGCTCTGTTCTTCCATGCGAAAGCTAAAGTGAAAGCGAGTGACTATACAAACCGAGACGATTCTTCATTTCATCTGAAAATTATGCCGGTTTTTCCACCCCGGTATTTATTGCTGTCTTCCAACAACTCTCGAACTACCCAGCCAGCCAGTGGCAGTAGTTACTTAAGTAGTACGTCCTCGTCTAATGTCCCTTATTCTGCTGGATGGGTGTGGGGGGTACTATATATACTTCTTATGGGCCTGCCTGCCTACTGCCTGCCCGCCTGCCAAGCTACTCAGAATAGAAGAGAAAGTAACATCATCCAACCTTTTTTCGCAATAATTTACTACCCGTATAAATCTTGTTGAATAAACGTTCACCAAAATAAATCCTTGGGTCATTTCCTGCTCCTATGCGAATCTTCTATCGAAAACAATCTCTCTCCTCCAACCGACGACAAACTTACGAACAACTTGT